ATATCATAGAAGAGATGCGTGTGTTGAAATTCATAAATTAGAAGAAACCAACTACAAAATTAAAAGACAGGGACTTAAATTAGTCATAAATGTCATTAAATATCACCAGATGAGATGGTTCGGTCATCTGACTAGAATAAACAATTCACAGAGCGGCTAGACGCTCGCCTGCAGATAGGAAGGTTGTGGCTTTGCGCCCTGGCTAAGCCGGACTTATTTTTAAAATGACCCTGGCTCCCAGGTCGACCCAGCCTTGAGTGGGTACTGGGTGCAGTCCCGGTAAGTAAAACGGTCGGCGTGATGCTGACCACATCACCCATCTTGTGCTGATTGATCTATAAAATATTGGTCTAGCCCTATATGCCCTATACGCATAAAGGTGTGGAAGGGGGTTCTTTAGTTTACTTACTAAAGAAATGCAGATCAACTTTTATACAATGTATTAGAAATAGGACACAGAAGATCTTTATTTCAACCCAGCAAGAAGTTGAGTTAGGAATATCATGTAAATAAACAGTTACAAATAAGCGTAGGGTAGATTGTTTGATGCTAGGAACCAAAAATATAAATAAACGGTCGCTACCGGTAACTCTTCAGGACCTATCTGAAAACCAGCGGCAAACTTAAATGTTCACCACCAAATGCTGTGGAGGCGATTTATAAAACTATCAAACATTTGACGTAAAGACAAAAGATCAAATTTTAAATCAAATTCAACACTTTAAATACTTGGGGATTTAAGAGCAGGAATTGGCCATTTATCAACTGACCCCAATTGTGAAGCACCCACCCATACCAACTGACCCCAATTGTGAAGCACCCACCCATACCAACTGACCCCAATTGTGAAGCACCCACCCATACCAACTGACACACGAAGACAAATTATAAATTCAGTCTTTGCTCTCTTCTTTTGTTGTACCCCATCAGGACATCACAAAGTGCCACCATGCGAATGAGGACCACCCATGGAGAAGTCCCAGAAATCCTTTTCAGCCGTTAGGCCATATTTACGGTCCGGCAATATTCAAGGCTTCCGGCAAAAGCCATGGTGGGGTTTCAAATAACGAAACATTGCATCCCACATGGGGACGACTATGTTATAAACATAATTCAGTCTTCATGCCAGACTTGAGCTATCGGTGTCAAGTTTGGACATCTACTGAAGAACACGAAAGAAAACGGACCGCAAGCGAAAAAAGATGTTTGATAAAGGCCATGAACAAGACTAGAGGAGATCATTGAGAAACGAAGAAATTACAAGAATTATTAGAAAAACACCTGTAAATAAATACATAGAAAAGGAAAGACTGAAATGTTTTGGCCATTTAATAAGAAAGAATCCAATTTATACCAGCAACGAGAGCGTACACTATAAAGGTAGAATCACCAAGAGTTAGTGGACGACCATGAAAAATATGGATTGAATTAGACACTGAAATCTTGAGCTTCCGTAACATCACAGCATACTAGACAACCGAGTGTGGCCTAGCTGGGATACAAATCATCTGTTTACATGTGACACCCAGCAGCACAGAGCAGAAAGTGAGCAAAATAAGACAGGGAGAGAGTGAGATTTTAACCTCATAATATGGAGCCACGTGGCTAGTGCATTCGCCTCAGACTGTGCAGGTTCGGACAGAACGGCATAACATCCATCATCTTACCGAGAATTTGAACCCCTTTCTCCTCTTTGGTAGCCCAATGTCCTGACCACTCGGGCAGCCGCACTCCCGAGTCGCCTGATACAAGACGGGTTAAAATTATGTATTTGCATTCATTATCTGACATAGCCTAGCGGTGTTTACCTTGTCCCTGAACTAACGGTGTCCGTGTGGAAATACTAATCTTATACTCTTGCTTTCATTGACACTTGACATTTAAAGGATTTTTGTGTGTGTGTGTGTGGAGCCGCTGTTACGCAGTGGCTAGCGCGTTAGCCTGCCGGTCCAGTCGTCCAGGGTTAGGATCCTTCTGGAGGCCGATAAGATAAAGTAATAGTCATAGCTTCCCAGGCTGATGTCACATATCACTCCTGTCACGTGCCTGATGTAAGGATTTCTCCTTCAGAACCAACAGCACTCAGAAATAATTATGTTGAGTCGTTTGGCTCGTATTGGTCTAAGGGATTCCCCGTGGCCAATATACGCTCAACTTATTTCTGGAGTAGGGCAACTCAAGTATTGGCACTACAAAATATATCAGTATGTGAATACAAATTCCTAGGCACACTGGCTGGACACCCCCACTAATTACTAAGAAAGCACCCCCAGGTTATTATAGTTCATTATCATAACCATGTTAACACATATAGTGAAGATTCATACACACACAACTGCTAAACACTTAAAAAGGTGAAATAGAGACACCTAAGTCAGCCATGAAAATGAATGCATATAATCATTATAACATATACATATAATATAATGCCAATATCAGTGGAAGGATCCCAGAATGTAATGTGAGAGTATAAAGATACCCTAACAGCCAGAAGGTCTTGAGATAACACCTTGTCATCATTGGGAAACATGGGAGCTGTGAGGAATATAGCACATATGCATCAAACTGAACTTACCCTCTTTCCGGTCTATGATGCTTCCCTCAGCTCCTGATGATTCGACTGTCTTTGGTGACTCTGCCTCAACTGGATCAACTGGTAGAGGAGTACTTCACCATAAAGGACACAGCACACAGCAAATAGCTCCCACTAGACATTAGCATCACTGTCCATGAGCTATACACATGTTCTGGCACTGTAGGAAGTTTGGGGTATATGGCCCCTCAAACTGACATCACTCTCCACACTTGGTAGTTGGGTGATAAGTGGTAGGTACTGGGTAATTGATGGATGGGTTATGGTTGGTGGGTTATGGTTGGTGGGTGTTGGTTGAACTGTGAATCTTCTGCCAGCTCCTCACAAAGGATTCATCCCAAGCATATGAAAAATCCTAGACATTACAGATCGCCTTATTACAGTGAAATTTTCTGGCGTCGATGCACACATCTGAACTCTTGGAAGCCGGCAAAAAGAATGGCGCTAATTACGCACTTCAGGCGTTAGTAAAAAGGAGTTCCTAGTATACATGGGCAAGGAGTAAATCGGTTTCTATGAAACCTCAAATAACTCCTCTAATGTTTATCCAATGGATGTACATTTAAAAGTTGTGTTAAGTCAAAGCAACTAGAAGATGTAGACATTATAATTTTGTCCGACAAAGGCATGTATCGATATAAGGGACTATATATATCTTCCTGGACGATTCCAAGTTTGAATGTTGTGCCGATTACAGGTAGGTCAAGTTACCAGTTTTACGGACTGATGTGTAATGGCTTATCATTCCACGACAGCTGACTTAGCTTGAGAAAAAACTTTTTCATGAAAATTAAAAGACTATCGTCTAGATATTGACTACATTACCCCTGAACAGAACAGATCAAGTCACGGTTTTTTCGCTTACCAACCGGACATTGCAGACTCAACAACCACTCACATAAACTTAGGTATGAGCCAAACAGCTCTCTGACAGTATCTTCGTGCTGAGCAGACTCCAGAACATGTCTTGCAAGACTGTGCTCTCTTAGCGGAGCTGCGGAGCAACACGTGGCAATATCCAGTAGACCTGACAACTACGTTTAGAGGAAACCTAAGATACCTTGAGATGACATCTTGGTTTATGGCCCACAGAGAAGTACGGGTGTGACCAGCGATCGCTGAAGAAACAGAAGACTACATCGTCAAGAGAGTGCCTGTTGTTTGTTACTTATGCGACTAGCGTTACAGACGCAACATATCCGCGTTAGGAGTGTGGGTGCAGTGTTTGCCTGTAGTTATAGTGTGTTTCAAAACTCATGCCGTCACAAATATCTCAAAAACTCCTGTTTTCTAACTCGCTTTTTTCTTAAAGGTTCAACAATGCCAAAAATTAAAATATCGATGCACAGTTTCTAAAACACATCAAAACATCAAGTATGGTGCCAAAAAGTACAGTTTTGCTCAGCAAAGTTCAAATTGTACCAAATCTATTCAGACTTTGGAAGCCCTGTAAAATATGTTGGTTTTGTGCTCTAAATGGAACATCTGCGGTCTTGCTCAGGGCTTTCCTAGTAGCTTCCTAGACACTTGTCTGCAAGATGATTACCAAACAGACAGAGAGCTGTGTATGTCTTCCTCTTGTTGGAGAGATGAACTTCAGTACAGGCTGCCATTTGAAGTGGCTAAAACACAATCACTCTAGGTTTACTAAATACCGCTAAGATGGAAATTTTCTGGATATGTTTGTTTTGATACCGGATTTTTACCCGTCATGGTTTGAAATTCTACCTGTCATTGTTAGAGACAGGTGACATTTGTTGGGAAAATCTTCGAAACTAATATTTCCATTTTAGTGACATTCAATGAAAGCCACGTTCGTCAATGCGCATGCGCAGTAGTCGGAACGAACGACTTCCACCATTCGCTGTCGTGGTACAGCAAACCGGACTATCTCTATATCGCTGAATGCGACTTTAACCAAATTAGATACGATTTCTATTTTCTTTCTTTTCAAACAACCTTCGATGAGTTAGAGAGTAGTCGGTGGACTTAAAAAGGGGGAAGAGAAGGGGGGGGGACAATCTCTGTCTGCGCAGACAATGACTGCGACATTAACTATATTAGACACGTGCGATTTCTATTGTCTTTCTTTTCCAAAAGCCTTTGATCAGGGAGCGAGTAGTAGGTGGATTTTGGAAGAGGAAGGGGGGGGGGGCGGAGGGCATCGAAGACTATCTCTGTATGTGCGCAGGCAATGATTGCAACAGTAACCATATTAGACTCGTGCTAGCTATACCCTGCCACGCGTTACTGTGGCATAGTTTGGCTAAATGGAAAAGAAAGAAAATAGAAATCGCACGTGTCTGGTATTTTTTTAAAGCCTTACTCTACTTTTGTAAAGTTTATCTTCTGTTATTATTGCCATTGCCACATTAATTTTATGTTTTTTTTTTTTTTTTACAGAAAGGCAACACATTGGTAGAACTGCTGAAGACGTATCGGCTCCACATCTTCGTCTGCGCCATTTTTCTGATCACGACCCTCTCAGTAAGCCTCTCCTGGCATTTCAGAATCATGGCCCAGGAGCAGCTCTACGCCAGCCAGGCTATCTTCTTCAACCCGCGTACACGAGAGATAACTCTTGCAGGTAATCTAGCCTAGTCAGCATTTATGTTTTAAATACCGGCATTTTAAAAAATCAAGCTATCAATACTAAAGAGAGTTGTTCAGTACACTAATTTGTTATCATGTCCCCTAAGATAGGCATGCCTGAATCAACAAGCTGTTGCTTAGGCTTCCTCTGATTTGATTTGATTTGATTTGATTCAAGACCCGACAGCACAGCACCATCTTCAACAGTCCTGAACAGTGCTGAATTTCCACCTTCGTTGCACCTGCTGGGGACTCCTTGCACTTCCGGGTCAATGTGGTTACAACTCTACACAAATCTGACTGTTCCACCGGCACTCTGACCAACTTCCTCTCCTCGCCTAATGTTCTCCAGGATGCACACCTGCCAGATCGTGTTCGCCGCCTGAGCCATCTATGACCGCCCTCTTATGTGTTGCAGACTGCAGTTCATCCTAACATGTAATTGCCTGTGCCCCATTGTTTGTTTCCCAGTACATAAACTGTGTAGATCAGAGAGGGGTTGAAACGATTTCTTTGTTTCAGACCCCAGAAGTAAAGCCAGCGTCCAGGGGCATCTTGGGCTAGACATCCCGGCTTGGATGCTGCCACTGCACTGTCCCATCGTCTCAAGTGGGGACCCGGACTACAAGGAATGTCTCTGGAAGAACGAGGCCGAGCTGAAGATCGTTCACCTCAAGGGCAAGGATGTTCAGTGCTACAATATTTCCTGGGCGAGTCTAGGACCAAGGGTAACCACAATTTGTCTGGCTTTATCTGTTTCAGGCTGTGTGTCGTCCTGTCCACCTGAGACTATAATGTTACCTGTAAAAACAAAAGGAAATTTTTCAGAGAGTCGGACATATGGTGCTATACCTATATATTTATATACCAACTGGCACTCAACAGGTGAAATAGTTAGCATCACTCCGGTCGCCTTTATGTCCCAGGACATCACCTGATACTCATTTTAGGGTGGATCGACCTGGTTGTCAAGGTAGTTTTGATGAAAAATCCGCCCATACAGTGGAACCTCGCTTAACGAGCATAATTCGTTCTAAAATCATACTCGTTAAGCGAAACACTCGTTATGCGAAATATTTGTTCTCTCATAAATTAATGTAAAATACGATAATGCGTTCCATGTCGAAAAAAAAAAACCTCACAAAATATTTTGTATAACGTTTATTCAGAGAAAATTGTATACATATTGTTTAGGAGAGTGAATCATCTTTATCTTTTTTTCCAACTCGGAACGAACCCACCTGGAATACGAATTCGATTTGCTGAAAACAAAAAACAAAATGTCGAAATAAATTAGGATACATAGCTTTTTTTTTTTTTTTTACTAGAAAGATGTGAAGAGACATTTGTTTTTGCCGACGCTCCGAAATGCGACACAGCATTATCATTAAATAAATTTGCAACGCGCATAGCCACTTCCTTATTAGGGTGACGCTTCTCAATCTTAGATGCAACAGTTTGCCATGCTTTCCATTTCTCTTTTTTCGCCAGAAGATTGTTGCTTTTCTGTTACCTCCTCCTCCTCTGACAAACTTTCCTCCAAAACTTCTTGCTGTGAAACACAATGCAACTCTATAAGCTCTTCGGTGGTCAGCTCTTCCACAAGCTTTTCGATATCACTGTTATCTGCCTACAATCCCAAGATAGTGGCCAAAGACACAATCTCGTTGACCATAGGTTCTACAGGTACTCTCTCGAACCCCTCAAAGTCACAGATCGACAACACTCTCCGGCAAAGCTTCTTCCAAGCAGAAGCTTGGGTTCTCTTGGTAACACCTTCCCCCGCCTTGTCGATCATCTTGAGGCAGGCAACGATGTGGAAGTGATTTTTCCAGAGCACTTTGAGAGTGAGGATGGTCTCTTCAGTCACCTAAAAACAATGCTTGAAGAGTGCTTTAGTGTAGAGATTCTTAAAGTTAGAAATAACTTGCTGGTCCATGGGCTGGAGTAACGGAGTGGTGTTGGGAGGCAGAAACTGGATCTTGATGAACATAAATTATTCAGGGAGATCATCTTGTAGGCCTGGAGAATTCATGTACATATATCACAATATAATACAAATTTTAGAAAATGTGACCACAAGCGACACTGCGATGCTACTGGAACGAGTGCTAACACAGACAGATGTAACATGCGCACAATCCGGGACTTTCCCTCTCCTCGCCACTCGTTATGCGAAACGTCGCTCGTTAAGCAAGTCAGTCTAATACAATTTGTTTTTGCTCATTATGCGAATTACTCGTTATGAGAAGTGCTCGTTAAGCAAGGTTCTAATGTACTTCAGATTAGAACCCGAGTATGTAGCTACTAAGCTTCCTATATGTTACCTTAATAATTGCCACAGCTGCTGCTAGTGCAAACATGCCGACACCTTCAGCATCTTTATTTTAAAGGTACTCACCGTCATCCCTTAGCGGTAAAGAGGTTCAAAGGCACTGTTTACAATCATCATCATCAAGTATCTTGTTAACAGGCTGATCACCTTTCTCTGCCCGTCACCCATTCTCTTTACGAACCCGCTGATTCATGTTTAGGTGTCTTTAAAGCAAGAAATATCATTAATCAAGCTTGTTAACAATCTTCCTGTCCTGTTCTATGCAGCGTGATATGCATTCCTTCAGAGGTTGCGGATAGTAAGCCTGCCGTGGGACATCTATGCGTTGCATGGCGGCGTGTTGGAGAATGAGCAGCCTCAACAACGCTCGGTTGTTGACTTATCTGCAGTCCTTTTCTCCTGTCTTTGCAACACATCTACTTCCCCTTTGTAACTTCATCCAGGGGGAAGTCTTCGTGTGGGTTCCGAGATCCAGTTTTCAGGAAAAAAAGAATAGACCCACCGCCCCCTAACTATCTTGTCGTAAAAGGCGACAAATTATTGTCGTTTCCTTTCGAAGTCAGAATGCAGCTGCCTGAATAAGACTAAAGTACAGAAGTGGACGGACAACCAGAATTTTCCGCCAGGGTTTACACCCGGCAAACACTAAGAAAAATATGCAGGGTGAAAATGATGTTCATGTGACTACACCTAAACATTGACATCATTCACACTCTATATGTGTTCATCTTTTTATCGTCGTTTAATAGTCCAACACAAACCCTTCCGCATTTCATTACAGAAGATATTCTTAACCTCATTTGTCTAGAGCAGTGTTTCCCAAACTTTTCTTGGTCGTGGCGCCTTTTTTAAAATGCAATTTGTCCACGGCGCCCTAACCTAATCAAAGTATGACTATTCGTATCTTGGTTTAATTAATTATGAATCTTTTACAATATTTCGTGGCGCCCCTTAAAGAGGACGCGGCTTCCCGGGGCGCCGCGACCCACATCTTGGGAATCACTGGTCTAGAGTCAGTGTATCGTTGCGTTTAATAATATAGAAAAAGTATGCACACATTATTTATTCTTTTCTGCAGTTCTAACCGACGTTAGTTGATGTTATTTATATCGTGTAAATACCATTTATATTTTTGGCTACTGCAACCCTTGATCTTAATTCGAGTTTCTTATGGAGATTTGTTTGCAACGAATTCAAAGTCGTCAAAACTTTGTGATAGTTGCGTCACTAGTTATCATTAGACAACAGCAGGGGAAATGTTAGGTTATAGAGCTTGACTGCCAACAGACAGTATATATACCCTTGCAAACAATTATTTACAGATTAATTGGAAATCGAAAGAGAGGCATACCATAGGAACAGATATATACAAAACACCTAGACAGGAACTCTCCTGCTGTTTGTAATGTTATCTTGTCTGCTGATTTAGATTGTGTTATATATAGTCATATAACGACTTTGGTCCAATCGTTCGGTTGTATGTATTCGCATCTTTTCCATTCTGTCTGTTGAGCCTTTTAGTCATCACTTAAGCTGTATTCAGTAATTCTTTTTTAATTGACCTCGACATCGCACAGTGCGAGCAGAACAAAATGAGATGAAAGATACCACTGCACATATTGAATCGTATCTGCATGATTTCAATAATTATATTCTGGGTTTTGTTTGGTGTTTAACACCACCTTTGAGGACTGACATTAATTTTTATATCCTATAGTTTAGCTGTGTCACTGCCTAACTGTAAGATCAGGCTTTTTTTTTTTTTAAGTGAGCATTAAAAAAAATTGCTTTACTTAAGTTATTAAACTGAATGCAGTAGTTCATTTGCGGGCATCGTGAACTAAAACCATTCTTGACTGTTTAGCAGTTTATAACATTCTTTCAGCTTTGTAATTACACAATAATTTTCTTTGGGCTGTAAATATGTACTCCCTTTGCTTATGTGTGTGTGTGTGTAATATATATATATATATATATATATATATATATATATATATATATATATAAGTATATATATATATATATATATGAATCATTTTCTTCCAAGACATTTATTTATTGGTCCTCTTTTTCAAGACATATTCGTTACTCTTTTTATCTGTCCAGGGTACAATCATTGTTCGTCTATAAAAAAAAATGATCATAATCAGGCAGGCTTACAAGTTTGTTCTTCTTCTTTGCGTTCACCGGCTGTGAACTCAGGCGCAAAGTTCTGGTTGTTCGTCCATTTCTGGACTGTAGTCCTGTTCCAGAACCTGAGTGTTGCGTGTGCATCCGTTTGACAGATCTGTATGCAGTCTGTTGGTTCCTTGCCTCTCAGGCAGATGCACTCTGACTTCGAAAGAAGCTCCCAATTAGTCTACTCTTACGACATGCTTTTGGGTAGGCAGTGGGTCTATTCTTGTTTTTCCCATAGTAGGGCCCCGGAACCTACACGGGGGTTACACGTTTCAATTTCCACCGGAGTATCGGCTGCGGTATTACTGTTTTTCGATGTAAATGTTTGCAGGGGCTGGATTGTGGATCTAATACGTTCGTGAAATTTAACAGAGAGACAAAACTTCCACGCACTGTGTGTTTGTAATCTTAATATGGGAGCCACGGTGGTGTTGCTGCCAGGCGCTCGCCTGCGGATCGGAAGATCGTGGGTTCGGGTCCAGACGGAGCCGGAATTTTTTCAAAAATGATCTTGGCTTCCAGATTGACCCAACCATAAATTAGTAACAGGTGCAGACCTGTAAAGTAAAGGTGGTCGGCCTGATGCTGCCCACATCCCCCACCCAGTGCCTACTGGTCTATAAAATATAGGTCTAGCCCGATATGCCCAACCCGCCTGAAGGCATGTGAAGGGGACCTTTTACTGTATCTTAATATATTCATAATATGGTTCGCATTACAAAGGGAAAGTTTCCTTTTCATGACATTATACCCTCTGGCATATGACCCTACACCCATATTTATTTTAGACAAATTGGCGCTTGATGACTGACTGAGTCAGTGTCAGTGTCAGTGCCTCTTTTACGTCCCATGACATTTCCTTGTTAACATTTAAGGTCAGTCGATCTGTATCTAAGTCCAATTTGAAAATCCTGTTTTGTTAAGACTCCATCAAGAATTTTAGGACTGCGAGGCAAGCCTCTACTAGAGTGTGCATACAATGGAATAAGGTTATAATATGAATAACTGTTGAAAGGATAGAAAAGGCGCACGCACAACATACATAGAACTTCCCCTGTGGGTTCCGGTGCCTTTTGGGGGTATGGAGGGGTAAGACCCACTGTCTTCTATGAAGCATGTCGTAAAAGGCTACTAATTAAAGTTTTTGCCTAAATAGCGTGTGCTGGGCTGAAAGGCGCAATTATCACAATCTGTAAACGAATTCGATACCCGCTA